TAACACCACGTGGGTAACATCAATAGGTTAGATATTGGCTTCCTCAGAGTCCTGGGGATCAGGCAGAGGTGGCAGATTCCTCTGTGATTCTGATTAAATCTAGGATTCTACATGAGGTATAGCTGAATTAAGAGTCAAAGCTCAAAAAAAAATAAGAATAAAATGATGTCATTTGCTGGAGAAAGAATGGAATTGGAGAACATCATTCTGAGTAAGAATAGCCAGACTCAAACATCATTTCATATGTTTTCTCTCAAATGTGGAAGCTAGAGAGAAAAAAAGTGAACTCGTGAAAACAGAAAGGAGACCAGTAAAGCAGAGGAAAGGGATGAAGAAGGGAAGGAGGGGGTACTGGGGAATGAAACTGACCAAATTATGTTATGTGCACCTATGAATAGATCACAATGAATCCCCCTATTTATAATGCATCAAAAAAATTTTTAAATAATCTCATAAAATTCCATAAAAAATGAAGAGGAGAAGGAAGAAGAAGATGAAGAATTTTGGAAAGCCCTAGAACACTTCAGATTCCATATCTGTATTGGGGGGAGATCAAATGCAATATTCCCTAATACTTTTCTCTTGTCTGGATTGATCAGTTACTTGAGAAATAAGAAAGTGTAATTACTTTTTTAATCCAGTACGTTCTGAGTCAAGACATATGTCCCCATGTTCTTTAAAAGGAAACAATATTTAGCCAGGTGCAGTGGTGCACACTTGTAATCCCAGCAGCTCAGAAGGCTGACGCAGGAAGATTGTGAGTTCAAAGCCAGCCTCGGAAAAAGTGAGGCACTAAGCAACTCAGTAAGTCCGTGTTTCTAAATAAAACACAAAAGAAAGAGGGGATTTGGGGATGTGGCTCACTGGTCAAGTGCCCCTGAGTTCAATCCCCAGTAACCAAAAAAGGAAATAATATTTATAGATCAGCTGACAGCTGTAAATAAACATCATATTCTTTTTTTACTTTTTTAAATTGATTTTTATATGCAACAGTGGAATGCATTACAATTCATATTACACATATAGTGCACATTTTTTCATATCTCTGGTTATATATAAAGCATGTTGACATCAATTCGTGTCTTCATACATGTACTTTGGATAATGATGTTCATCACATTCCACCATCATTTCTAACTCCCTGCCCCCTCCCTTTCCCTCCCACCCCTCCGCCCTATCTAGAGTTTGTCTAATCCTCCCATGCCCACCCTTTCTCCCCCACTATGAATCAGTCACCTTATATCAGAGAAAACATTTGTCATTTGTTTTTGGGGGATTGACTAACTTCACTTAGCATTATCTTCTCCAATGCCATCCATTTACCTGCAAATGCCATGATAAACACCATGTTCTTTTGAGAGAATGTGTTTTAACATATATATTACATTGTTAAAATGTATTAGACTGTAACTCTTTACTTTTCCCTGTGTAGACATGAAGGGCATCAGCATAAATTAAGAGTATGTTTATAAGGAATGGAGAACATGTGTAATAAAGACTGGTAAAAGAGTTAGAAACTTCTATAGAAGCAGCAGAGGCAGCATTTTGAACATATTGAAACAGCCAAATTTTATGCAATAGAACTACAGTATCCTTTTTGTAATTTTGTGAGCAATGTTTTATAAGTAATCAAATTTTCTGGTATAGAAAATGTTAACTGGATAATATTATAAGTGAATCAATAATATTCAGAATTAATGGAAGCGATTACTTTTCTAGAAAATTTTTCAATTAGTTTTTTCCCCTTGTAACTTTCTCTTTTTTCTAATAAAAGACATAATTGTGGTGGCAGTGTTCACTATTGAATGGGATGGCAGCAGTAGAGGGCTATAGTTAGAGATGGTGGTAACAGTTGTGAGTGGTACCAATGGGTGGTGGCAGTTGGTGGGGTGTGGTGGTAGTTGGGGGATGTGTGGTGGTAGTTGGGGGATGTGTGGTGGTAGTTGGGGGACGTTGTAGCTTTGATCTAGAACATCCTCTAAAGGCTCATGTGTTGAAGGTTTGGTCCCCAGGGAAGTAATGTCCAGAGATGGGGCTCTTTGAAAAGCAATGGATCATGAAGACTCTGACCTCATCAGTGGATTAATCCATTGATGGCTGGATGGACTCCGGGGAGGTGGTGGAAACTGCAGGGAGGTGGAGCATGGTTGGAGGAAGCAAGTCACTGGGGGTGTGCCTCTGGAGACTACGTCTTCTCCCTGGCCAGCCTCCTGCCTCCCCCACCCCACCTCCTCTGTCCCTCTCTCCTGCCTCCCTCCCTGCCTCCTGGGGATGTCAGGAGCTGAGCAGCTTTCCTCCACTACATCCTTCTGCCATGATGTTCTGCCTCACTTCAGGACCAAAGCAATGGAGCCAGCAGACCACGGACTGAAACCTGTGAAACCACGAGCCAAAATAAATCTTTCCTCTTCTAAGTTGTTTTGACAGGTATTTTGTCATCCTGACAAAAAGCTCTCTAACACAGGGGAGGCAGCAGTGGTAACCCTTGTGGGTAGTGGTGATGATGGAGGTGGTAGTTGTGGGTAGCAGTAATGGCAACAGAGATGGCAGTTATGGGGGTGGTGGTGGTGGTGGTAGTGGTAATGAAGGAGGTGGTTGGGGGTGATGATGATATTAATGGGCAGTGGCTACTGTGGGCAGTGATGGTAGTGGTAGTTGGAGAGGGTATTACGAATAAATGGTGGTGAGGTGGAGGAGATAGTTTTGAGTGGGGGGAGTAATGGAGATAGCAACTTGGGAAGACAGCAGTAACGGTTGAGTGGTACTAGCTGTGTGTAGCAATGGTGGTGATGTTAGTTGAGATGGGTAGTTATGAGGGGTAGAGGTTGGTAATGGTGGTTGTACTTGTTGGAGAAGATGATGATGATGATAGCTGTGGATGGAAGTAGTTATGGGAGGTGGCAGTTGTATATATTTGGCTGAGTGTGGGAGAAACACAGGCAGGGGTAATTACTCTTAAGGAAAATTTTTGTGATTGTTTTACATGATCCCATTACTAAATATATAACATGCATAGCCAGTGTATATTATGATAAGATGTGGTTTAACATCGCTAACATAAAACCAACACTGTCACCAAAGCTATCTGGGTTTCCTTTTCTGTCCATCTGTTGATGTCACTGAGGGAAACTCAACAATGTAACAAGGAAACTGTGCCACTTCTCTGACAGTAACTTAACTACTATTACCTCTGTGCGTTCCATGTCATGGAAGGTGGCAGAGGCAGGGGGGGGTGTACATATATACTTAATTTAATCCTCATAAAAGTACATATGATTTCTATTTTGCCAATAGACATGCTTAGGATGAATGAATGATATTGAACATTTTGCTAAGGTCATTCAGTTAAGAGGTAAAGTTGGATTTAAAATTAAATCTGTCACTAAACCCTATTATTATCCCTCCTGAGATGTATAATTGAGGGTCTACAGTGGGGAGAGATAGCTGCCCTTTGGGTTGGGAGTAGAGGGACCATGGTATAGAGCATGTTTTCAAAATCTCTCTTTTTTTCTAAAACAAATAAATCAATGAAATGTGGCCACACTTAAATCTACTAGAGGGGAAAATAGATGTGCCTGGGGAAGAAAAAAGACTGATCTTTCTACTTATAAGTCTCTTGAAGTAAGGTAAGTAAAATGAAAATATTTTTAATAAAACTGGAGAACTTGATGGAGGAGGAGCACGACCCAGTACCAGGTGTGACAGCTCCCAGTTCTGAGGAGCACTTGTATCACATTTTGCTCCTCCTCCGATCCTTTGAATTGATGGGATTGTTTTACTGGATACTCTGGTTCCATTTTGTTTCTTCCACCCCTTGCCTGTGTACTTTGGGTAAGTACTTTAGACTCTCTGAACCACTGTTTTTCATCTAGAATTTTCAAATAACAACCTCATAAGATTACTGCAAAATTAAGTGACATATGTACCATTACTAAGTACTTAACATGTATAGGCAGTGATGTGCACCTTCACATGCATTATTGTTGTGGTGTGAACTGATAAATACAATCAATAAGAGTATAAGTTATAGGTTATAGATTAGTAAAAATATATATATTATAGATATAAGATTTTTGATAAGTGAAATAAGACAATTATAAAGCAAGGACTGTCATAGACAGGCCTAAGACTCCGTTTTGCTGCCTTCTATTAAAAAAAAAAAAAAAAAAAAAAAAAAAAAACCTGTATTCAACGCAGGATACAGTGGTCTTGGTGACTCAAGACTTTCAGGTAGATTCTCGCTCCTGCTAACCACCTGCTCAAACTCAGGATACGGTTGTCTAACACCTGCCCGAACCCAAGATGCGATTGTGAGTTGCTGTGCCAATTGCTGTCTTAGCTTCTATGATTGGCTTGTTTGTATGACACTAAGGAGAGCCCCTGAGTTGTGGTTTTCATCTTTAAGTTCCCAGGACACAGGCCAGGAAATTGCTGTTCTCCCGCAGAGCTTCCGTCTCTATGGGTGGGTGACAGTCCCCAGCCAGGTAAATAAAGCTCTCTTCGATTTGAATTTGGACTCAGAGTGTTTTCTGAAGCGGCTTCCCATAACATTATCAGCATTTATTCATTCATTAAATGATTTATTGAGCAACTCCATGCATTAGTCACTGTGTTAAGTGCTAGATACAGACACCAAGGGTACAGATGACAATCTGTGTCCTTGTGCAGCCGACATTCCAGCTAGATGAGATGAACAAAAAAACAAAGATGAACACTGAACGTTAGGTGGTGGGAAATGATGTGAAGGAGAAGAGCAGAGGAGGGAAATGAGGAGTGTCCCAGTGGAGGAGGGGGTCACCATTTTAAGTTGGGTAGCTAAGGAAGCATTCACGCAGAGGTGGCATTGAAGACAGACCCAAAGAAAGACAATGAGCCAGGAAAATGTACACCAGAAGAGTAATCCAGGCACATGGGAGGTCAAAAAACAGCACCCAGGAGAACTTACTGGTGTGTTTCAAGATCAACATGGAGGAGGAGGTGAGGCGACTTCCGGCGGCGTGACCTGAGCGCAGGGCCTGCTGGGTGACGGAGCCGGAAGGGGATTGTATTAGTGAACTTGGAGTCATTGCTGACATGTCTGACATTCAAGAAGCTACTAACCAGCTCCTGGACGTGAACCTTCATGACAACCAGAGATCTGTACCAGTGACAGAAAGTAGCATCAGAAGTTCATTGTCTGAGATCAGTTGATAATTTATTTGTGGTTGTTCAGGAATTTCCAGATTACCAGTTCAAAAATACAAAGGAAGAAGTTCTAAAGGATTTTGAAGACTTGGCTGGAAAACTCCCATGGCCAGATCCTTTAAAAATATGGAAAATTAACACCAGTTTCAAGAAAAAAAAAAGCGCAAAAAGATAAATCAAAATTCCAGTAAAGGGAAGATTGATAATGGACAAGGAGACAAATTAGATGAGAGAGATGTTAAAGAATTCACCAACAATGATTTAGATTCACACATCTTAGACTATTATGAAAATCCAGCCATCAAAGAGGAGGTATTAACATTAGTAAGTGATGGCTTGGCATCTTGCAAAGATGAGATCGATGAAGGCTCAAAAGAAGAAACTGAGCATCAAACACTAAAGTTTAGAGTCACGTGCAACAAGGCAGGAGAGAAACATTGCTTTACCTCAAATGAGGCTGCAAGAGATTTGGGGGGTGCTGTTCAAGATTATTTTAAGTGGAAGGCTGATATGACCAACTTTGACGTGGAGGTTCTCTTGAATATCCATGATAATGAAATCATCATGGGAATTGCACTGACTGAGGAAAGTCTCCACCGCAGAAATATTACACATTTTGGACCTACAACTCTTAGATCTACTCTTGCCTATGGGATGCTCAGGCTTTGTGCACCTCAACCTACTGATATAATAATTGATCAAATGTGTGGAACAGAGGCAATACCAATAGAGGGTGTGGTGAGCCGTGTTTGTAGACCGTTGCCGCCATTAGAAGATAGTGCCCGTCTCCGTTGTGGATCTTGGTAAACAACTCCTTATTAGGAAAAGTTGGCGCGCTGTCCCTCAATACCCTATGAGAAAACCCCGCGTGGCAGCTTTGGATTGGATTTGAGTAAGCTTTATTAGGCTGTGTGTGGGTGCGTGGAAAGAGCGCGCGCTTGAGAGAAGACTAGAGTTAAGGCCTGAATAAACCGCTGAAAGAAGAATCCTGTGTCGTGTCTTCCTTGCTGGCGAGGGGGTCGCGACAAGAGGGAGCAATGGAATGGGCTGACTGTTATCATATTGCTGGTGATAATAATCCCCTGGCTGTGAAAAGAGCAGCAAATAACATCTCATCTTTACTCACCAAGAGCCAGATGAAAGATGGCAAACCATCCTGGGGTTTGCCCATTGATGCTGTGCAGTGGGAGATTTGCAATCTCCCATTGAGAACTGGTTCTGTGGACATTATTGTAACAGATACGCCATTTGGAAAAAGAATGGGCTCCAAGAAGAGAAACTGGAATCTTTATCCAGCTTGCCTGCGAGAGATGAGCCGTGTCTGTAGACCCGGGACAGGCCAAGCTGTTCTACTTACTCAGGACAAGAAATACTTTACCAAGGCATTATCTGGAATGGGACACGTATGGCGAAAAGTGCCTACAGTCTGGGTGAATATTGGGGGTCTTCATGCTGCAGTTTATTTTCTGAAACGTACACCCCAAGCTTTTGTTCATCCTGTGGAACAAGATGGAGAGAGAGGAACTCCTTGGTAATGCATAGGATGAAGATAATTAAGAGTATTATACTTTTCAACACTGGGAATGTCAGCATGAAGAACTTTAGAGAAAAATAGTATTAACAAAAGTGCAGTCTACTATTTAAACAAGTCCAAAGCTCTTCTCCTTGGTTAGCAAGATACAAAGTAATGTAATATAACTTTAAAAGAAAACATTTTCCTTGGGGATATTTTGAAAAGGGTAGCTGTGCAATTAGTATTTTTCTTACACTGCTTTAAAGATGATTAGGGAAAAGCCTACCAAGGTACTCTAGGATCTAGGTTTTAGAATGTTTTATTTTTATTGTGTCAAGTGGAAAGCCACCTTGGCCCAAAGGCAAAGTGTCTTAAGCTACATCTTTCTACCTATGCAGCTTTGCTATTTAATAGCTCAGTACTCTTTACCTCAACCTCAGAAAAATGAAGCACTATTACATTTTGTGAATAGTATTTGCCCCATGACAAAATGGAGTAGACCCATAGGAAAATTTGCCATCTGCCTTAAAAATTAAAGTATGCATGTTATCCAGATTAAAATATACAGAATTAAAACAGAGGGGTAGAATTTATGAAAGGGTTTGCAAAGACACTTTACTTTTTTTTTTTAACAGTACCAGAAACATAGATAGCTGGGGTGTGGGACCTACAAGCCAAATCAAAAGAGATTTTTTTTTTTCAGTTTACAAGTCTGTTGTTTTTCAAGGCAACCATAAACATGTCTTCAGTACTTTTTTTGTTGAGAGAAAAAAAAATAGTCTATGTTCAAATGAAAACTTAATTTAGGGGCCATCTAAGTTTGTTATTTCCTCATAGATTATTTTTCACATTTAGTTGCTTTTCAACTCACAGGAAGTTCTTCCTGAGTTTTGTGGAAAGTGAACCTCAATAGTCAGTCTTAGTGAAATGGTGCTTCCCTAGGATAAAAAGTAATTGAGGTTTTATGTGGAATTCTTTTACAGTGCCCAGTTTATTTTGAAATATCTGGCTGCATTCAGCTTATATTTTCAGTGTCATTTTAGTAATGTGATAATACTACTCCCTTTTGATGTCTCCATTTAGAATAAAAGGACAGTATACTTTGAGAGAAAAAAAAAAGATCAACATGGAAGTCAGTATGACGTGAGCAGAGAGGGAGAGAAATTAGAGAAAATTAGATCAGGAAGAATGGGACTGGGGGAAGGGGAAGATCAGGTACGGGCTGGCAGGCCATGGTCTGGGCTTTGGCAACCACTCGGAGATGGGAGGCTTTACTGTTTCAGACAAAGAGGTGACATTGTATGTGGCGTAGGTCTGAGGTGCTGTATTAGGAAGAGTAAGGGGGCTGAGAGCCTTGGTGCACGCCTGTAATCCCGGCAGCTCAGGAGGCTGAGGCAGGAGGATCGAGAGTTCAAAGCTCAGCCTCAGCAACTCAGCAAGGCCCTAAGCAACTTATGGAGACCCTGTCTCAAGATAAAATATAAAAAGGGCTGGGGATGTGGCTCTGTGGTTAAGCGCCCCTGCGTTCAATCCCTGGTACAAAAACTAAAAAAATAAATAGTAAGTGTGCAATGGTCCAGGTGCAAGATGATGGCAGCTTGAATAGGTCGTGTGGATAGAGAGAGCAGGGTATGGCCATATTGTGGATGTATTTTGAAGGTAGAGTCTACAGTATTTACTAGGATTTGTGAGATGTGAGAGCAAGGAGTTGAGGATTCAGAATAAGTCCTCTGGCCATGCTAAGGAAGGACCACTTTTTGTAAACAACTATGTAACCCCTTTGAATGTGAACTCTAGTTTTGTCACCTTCATTCCTCTTTAAAGCCACAATCTTCTGTATGTGGTGGCATATTCCTATATAATCCCAGTTACTTAGGAGGCTGAGACAGGAGGATTTGCAAGGCCATCTGGGCAATATAGCAAAACCCTATATCAAAAAAAAAAAAGCCACTGGAGACTCAAACTGATTGGCAGATTGATGATATTAATAAATGCTTTCAATAAAGACATATGCAATGAAGAGGTTTTCAGAAAAGCTTTTTTGTTTATTTTTATTTATTATTTTTATTATCGCATTATAGTCATATATAATATTAGGAGGGAATTGTTTGCTTGTTTTGTTTGTATGGAGTTTTTTGGTACGAAGAATTGAACCCAGGGACACTTAACCACTAAGCCACATCCCTGGCCCCAGCCCATGTAATGTTTTATTTTGAGATAGAATCTCCCTAAGTTGCTTAGGGCCTTGCTGAGTTGCTGAGGCTGGTTTTGAACTTGCAATCCTCCTGCCTCAGCCTCCTGAGCTGCTGGGATTACAGGCATGTGCCACTGCCCCCTGCTGGGGTTCTATTTGACATAATTTTATAAGCATGGAATATAATTTGCTCCAATTCAGTCCACAGTACTTTTCCTTTCCCTTACCTTCTCCCTCCCTCTGTTCTCTTTCCTCTATTCTATTGATCGTTCTTCTATTTATTCATTTTTTTTGAAAAACTTTTATATAATCAGAATCATACTCTGTCTTAATATTAATTCGTGTGTTTCAATCCTTGTTAATAGCAAGCTGTGTATTTTTTAACATTTATTAAATAAGAAAATCATTGTATTCTTTTTTTCAAAATCCCTCTAGTATCCTTAAGTCCTCAGCCACATCATAGAGAATATTTTTGGAAAGCACCTGATCCCCCTCTCTGAGTTGACTGTCTCCAGACTGTCTGAATGAAACTCAAGAAATCCAAGAGCTTGGTTTTCATTAGCTGCAAACTTCCCTTTTGTAAAACGGTTTAGAGAACATGGAAAGCAAATGTGACTACCCTTCACTAGGAATTATCGGCAGGGGTATACCTAAATTAATCCTCTCTCCACTCTTCTTTCTCTCATTTTACTCTATGCCCATGGTGTGTTCAGTGTGAGCAGCCACAGGCTAATCTGTGATGGGAACTGATTTTTAAGTAATCTACAATGCAATTGTTTTTTGTTTCTTTTCCTGTGGAGATCTAGAGGCATCTGTTTAAAAGAAACAGAACAGGCAGCTCTATAATACTGACTTGTTTCTTAAAAGTGATAAAGTGGTGCCAAATATAATTCAACTCATAAAAAGTTAAAGCAATTAGAAAAAAAAATTCCATCTCCAATACTCTAACCTAGATATTTATTTCTCAAAAATTCCTTAACCTCTCCCCTCAATGGCACCTGTTGTCAATACCAGTGCAGATTGCATTTGGATCTCTTACTTGAAAAAAAATCAATAAGTCCCAGCCAAATTCCTGGTCTTAGAAAAGCAGGAATGGATATGAGGCCCCAAATCGTTCCTCCTCTGAATCCAGAACATCCCACGGTCTTTATGGCAATAAAATCAAAATGACTTCCATTTAACACTCCAAGAGAGAGAAATTGACTTATTTGATGATTGGATTTCCTCATTCATTCTTAAAAATATATAAAATATCTGTTTTGTGTTAGGTCCATTTTATATAATATACTACAGAGACAGGAGAAAGGAAAAAGAAAAAGTAACATATCTGCCCTTATAAATTTTTTAGGAGTTTCCTTCCAGATTTTTGTAGTGTCTCCAACTTAACTATGAATATCTACATTTCAGGGATTGATGGCAAGCTATGCTTTTCTTGGTTAGCATAGATAATACAAAATTATAGAAAGAGATGTACATAATGTTTATGGTTAACTCTAAATGCCAAAACTTAACTATAGATCTGAACATAAATATAAATGTTGATATAAACATAAATACACACACACACACACCAGGAAGCTAATGGTGTAATTATGTTAGGACTTGAAGTTCAAAAACATATGCTCCAGGCTTGAATCTGTCGAGTAACTAGCTGTGTTATACTGGATAAATTCACTGGCCTCTTTAAATCTCAGTGTCCTCACCTGTCAAGTTGAAATCATAATAATACATATTTAATGGGACCATTGTAATGATTAAATGTGAGAATGTACACTAAATTCTTCATTCCAGTGGCTGACACCAAGTTTATGTCTAATAGCCATTATCATTATGATATATCTATTAATTCTCTTTCCCAGGAGAGTCCCATCAGCAAATTTCAATCATGTCTTTTAATTGTCCAAAAGCATCATTCTCAGTCACTGGAGTATTCCTATCCTAAGTTCTTGCTCAAATTCTGTTTCTAAAATTTGTTAAGAAATACTGACAGAAATTTAGTCAAATACACCACCTCATCCCCCTGAAACACATCTGCGTTTGAATCTGCTTCACTTGATTTCCCAAAGTAGGTCACTGGCATATGACACTTTACTCTTGTGCAAAGAAAAGCAACAAAACTCCCATTGCCTTTTGCATAAATATGTTTCTTTCTTCTCTTCTATTTAGCGTCCTTCTTCACTTTCTTTAGAGCTAGGCTTTACCAGAAGCTATTTAGGAAGGGTTTTTTTTTTTTTCCCAAAAAGTAATAGAGCAAATGAAAACATCCTTACCAGATGGCCCTAAACATAATTTGCACTTTTTAAAATTATTCTGGGCCATCCTTTCACAAACCAATTTTTGCTTTGATATTATAGGGTGATTTTCCTTAGGAATCTTAATCGTGTTATTTGCCCTACATAAGACATTTCCAAATGTCTTGAACACAGTATTTCTCTAGTATATGAGGCTTCAAAATGTGTCACTGCTCCAATCTCTGGTTACTGGATCTAGTTTTTCTCCCCGCTTCTCTCTCACCAGCACATACAGTTCGATACTGCTGTTACTTTCAGCTACAAAGAGTTCCTAAGAGAAATCAGATAAATACTCCTAATAAATACAAAAGCTTGAGTTAAAAACAAAAATGCTCATGGCTGCATTTCTCTCCCACTGTGTAATGTGCAGACTTTGTGACAAATTCTTCCTCCTAATAGACTGGGGTCCTCTTAAGTCTGAAAACACCCAACACAGAAATGATAAATGCTTAGGGAGATGGAAATGCTAACTACTCAGATTTGATGATTACACATTATTTTCATGTATTAAAGTATCATACTATACCCTAAATATGTTTAACTATGAAGTGTCAACTTAATTTTTTTTTTAATGGAGTATCCTTTTTTCTGTTTCTAAGTCTTGGAATTCTTCAATAAGTTTACTTACTGGAAAAATATACTTGTTATTTTATTATACAATAAAAATGCAGAATGTCAGCAATGCTAACTTGATCGAGTAAAAAATAAATTTCTATCTTGCATATGCTAAAACTGAGAGTTGAGTCTTTTAACTCTGGGGTGGGGGTAAAGTTCAAATTTGTGGACTAGAAAAATGTGCATCAAAAACACATGAGCTGGGTTGTTTGTTAAA